TCGTACAAGAAGACATCCATGAGGCTCCTGTCACCAGCCAAGCCAGAGAGTGAGTTCACTGCCACCTGCAACACTCACCTCTCTCCAGGCACCCCCCACCACCCTCCCCCCAGCTGAACCGGAGACAGAATATACCACCTTGAGGAGCAGCCGTGACCACACACTACCCTGCTCTCTCTCCCCACCTCACATTCCTCTCCTCCATTCTTCCTTCATAGCCTTCTCTCCTTACATTACTCATTTCACTACCCCCCTCTCCCACCCCAACACCCTCACATACCCCAGCCCCCCCAGGCCGAGAAAATGACTTACAGGAAGGAGAAACTCACTGATCTAAGAGCCATTTCCCCACCAGATTAAAAAAGCTGCCAGATTTAGGAGTTTGCCTGGCACCTTTCAGCCGGGGGGAGGGGGAGAAGGAGGGAAGAGGAAGGAAGGAGAAGGAGGGGAGGAGAAGGAGGGAGGGGAGGAGGAGGAGGAGGAGGGAGGAGGAGGAGGAGGGGGGGTGAAGGCGCATGCGACCCCTACGTCCTTAGTGAAGGTTGCCACCTCTCCTCCTCCTCCTCCCACAGCTCCTCCTCCAGGCACTGCCCACGCCCGAGTCCGCCCCATGTCAAGGGTAATATATATGACTCCCTGGCCCCTGTAGTTTGTGAGGGCGACAGAGACATTGATCATCACCAAATGGCCCCTGTTGACTACATGCCGGGGTGTGGTGTGTGTGGGTGGGTGGGTGGGTGGGGTGTGGGTGGGTGGGTGGGTGGGGTGGGTGGGTGGGTGGGGTGGGTGGGTGTGTGGGTGTGTGGGTGGGTGTGTGTGTGTGGGGGTGTGTGGGTGTATGGGTGTGGGTGTGTGTGTGGGGTGGGGTAGGGGTGTGTGGGTGTGTGTGGGTAGGGTGTGTGGGTGTGTAGGTGTAGTGTGTGTGTGGGTGGGTATGTGTGTGTGGGTGGGTGGGTGGGTGGGTATGTGGGGGGTGGTATGTGGGTGGGTGGGTATGTGGGTGGGTGGGTATGTGGTGGGTGGGTGGGTGTGTGGGGATGGGTGGGTGTGTGGGGATGGTGGGTGTGGGGATGGGTGGGTGGGGTGCGTAAGAGTGACAAGTACTTTAAAGGAACGCCCGGAGGTCACAAGAACATAAGAGTCTGCAATAGGCCGGTTGGCCTGTGCCTGGCAGCTCCTGTCGAGAGTTACTACCACTCTCTATCGTCCATGAATCTATCTAGCCTCCTTTTGAAACTTTCCAGCGTTCCAGCACTTACTATAAAGTTGTTAAGCTTGTTCCACCTGTCCACCACCCTATTTAGAACCAGTTTCTTCCTATCTCCCTCCTAAACCTAAACTTATCCAACTTGAACTGTTGTTCCGAGTCCTATCCTGCTCGGATATTATAAGAACTTTATCTATATCCCCTTTATTGATTCCTTTCACCCACTTAAATACTTCTATCATATCTCCCCGCACTCTTCGTCTTTCTAGGGAATGCAAGTTAAGTTTCTTTAATCTATCTTGATATGGAAGGTTTCTAAGATATCCTACTATAATACAGACCCCAATACTTCATATACATACACATATACATACACATACACATATACTTATACATACACATATACATACACACTCTCTCTCATCCTCGACTCACCTACTGTCATCAAGCTGAATCACCGCTATTACTCACTAACTGGCTTAACTAATGCAGCAACAACAACAACCTCCGGTATAAATAAATTACTACCGGTATCTCTTTAAAAAAGAAAAAAGTAAAGAAAAAGTTTCCAAAAGACTAAAACTTGCCGGGAAAGTTTGACGATAATAACGAATAAATTATCTCAACATTAGAACTTCCTTCCAACTTCTTATCTGGCACTGAGAGAGAGAGAGAGAGAGAGAGAGAGAGAAACACAAACACGTCATTACCTGATCAATTCCACATTACCAACAACAAATAAATAAAAAAATAAAGTCATTCACTCTAACTCATCAATGAACAAACAGAGGCAAAAAAAAAAAGTGAATAAAATTGACTCACATCATTCACTGACGTTTTATTCACCTTGAAGTATTGACACAGAGGCCTTCCACACCCCACCTGGCCCACCTGTTGTTGTTGTGTTAAAGGAGAGGCGTGTTGACAGTGTTGTTGTGTCTTATACCTAAGGGGTGTGTACTTTATCTTCACCCCTAACACCCTCCCCAACACCCTTCCTTTCTCCCCAACACCCTTCCCTTCTCCCCAACATCCTCCTCCTTCACCCCCCAACACCCTCCTATTCTCCCCAACACCCTCCTATTCTCCCCAACACCTCCCTTTCTCCCCCAACATCCTCTTTCTCCCCAACATCCTCCCCCTCTCCAACACCTCCTTTCTCCCTACCACACACAACTACGTGGGTATAATTCGTCCAATTTAATCGTTAGATCAATGATGGGGAACAATCATTAAGGTGACACTAACGTCACTGGTGGCACTGCCTTGACGCCGCTTATGGCATTGAACTGATGACAGGGGGTGGCACAGATGGCACTCACAACATGAATGGCAATATAAGCCATTTTTTAGCAACACAGATGACACCAGCGTCCAAGGCTGTGGAGTCGGAGTCGAGGTTCTCTGAACTAAAATTTAATGTGCCTAACTATTTAAGTACATCCAGAATAATACACAAGCACCAAGAAATGACCTCGAAAACCCATAAGAGGAGAGTAATTAGCATTGCAAAAGTAATTAAAATATTCTAAAAATCATTTGAACATTTTCTAAAAGCCATTTGAACAAGTTATAATCAAGATATCAAATTTTGCTAACAGATCCTAGCAACATTCAGGAGTACCTATACTGAAATTTTGAACAAAAATCCATTTTTTTAGTCGAAAATGACAAAATTGTAAGTCTATAGCCTTAAAGGATTTTTGAAAAATACGTTTTCTCTCTGAACTAAAATTTAATGTGCCTAACTATTTAAGTACATCCAGAATAATACACAAGCACCAAGAAATGACCTCGAAAACCCATAAGTGGCGAGTAATTAGCATTGCAAAAAGTAATTAAAATATTCTAAAAATCATTTGAACATTTTCTAAAAGCCATTTGAACAAGTTATAATCAAGATATCAAATTTTGGTTAACAGATCCTTAAGCAGCACATTCAGGAGTACCTATACTGAAATTTTAACAAAATCCATTTTAGTCGAAAATGACAAAATTGTAAGTCTATAGCCTTAAAGGATTTTTGGCCAAAATACGTTTTCTCTCTGAACTAAAATTTAATGTGCCTAACTATTTAAGTACATCCAGAATAATACACAAGCACCAAGAAATGACCTCGAAAACCCATAAGTGGCGAGTAATTAGCATTGCAAAAGTAATTAAAATATTCTAAAAATCATTTGAACATTTTCTAAAGCCATTTGAACAAGTTATAATCAAGATATCAAATTTTGTTAACAGATCCTTAAGCAGCACATTCAGGAGTACCTATCAGGGCTGTGGAGTCGAGTCGGAGTCGAGGAGTCGGAGGAAATTTTGGCTTGTGAGTCGGAGTCGGAGTCGGTAAAATTGTCCAGACTCCGACCTGACTCCGACTGAAGCTATTCTGTTCCTAAGAACAAATATATGAACTCAGGCATATTCATTGCAGTGATTCCACTGATCCCACTAATTTTCTTAAATTATAAAAAGAATTTATTTCCATTTTATAAGCATTATTATGAATTTATTGTAGCAGGCACAGTATAGCACTATAATTTGGACGATAGTCTCTTTCTTTACCATTTGAAATTTTGAATTATATCAAATTTTGTTTCGTTGAAAACTGCACAGAGGCTCTCAGCTACAAAACAATTAGCTACAACCTGTTTTTGTGAGATTAAGGCAAATTAATTTAATAACTTAATCATGTAAGGTTTATCCATTTTCCTTAATAAGGTATTTATTTTTAATGTACATAAATATATAACTTTACTTTAAAAAGGAATTGTAGGATCATCATTTAGATCCATCAGATTATGAGCTTAAACAAAATTCATATGCTGAGATCGAACTTTAGATATACATGTAAATGGTGTTTTCTAGTTAATATCTTGAATTTTAATAAATTTATTTTTCTTTTGATTGAAACTTTTGAAAGTCAAGCCTATCATCTTTTGTAGTTCTAATATCGTCCAGATCATTAATAAAGCTGTAGCAGTATAGCCACGGTGTTTTACTTTTTACCTATGCAGGTTACAACATACAAATTACAATTAGGATGGTAGAAATAGTTGTTACAAATAGGCCAAGGAGTCGGAGTCGGAGTCGGAAGCATAAAATTTGAGGAGTCGGAGTCGAAGGTTTTGTTCTTCGACTCCACAGCCCTGCCTCACACTGTCGCCTTTAAGCTTCTTCTACAGTGAGTGAGACAATAAGAGCTTCCCTAACACTCACTCACTCACTCACTCACTCACTCACGCACTCACTCACGCACTCACCACACCACCACACAAAATGGAGGATTTAATGGTGACGAAAATACACTGAGACTCCTGCCTTAACACACACACAGAGACTTAGACACACACACACACACACACACACACACACACACACACACAAACACACACTGTTTTACCTCACCATTCTCACCACAGCCAAAAGACATACAACATAAGTAAATAATTAATTAACCTCAAGTTAGTTACAGGTGAAATATAATTAAGGTTTATTGTACCTTAGATTAAGTAGTTAATTAGATACGTTTTACCTGTTAAGGGAAAAATATACGGTAAGTAACTGTTTTTCGCAGGTAGATACGTTCTTACTTCACCAGGTAAGGTAAAAAATATAATTGTTTTAAAGTAGGTTAAGGGAGACAGGTAGTACGTTGCCTCACCTGTCCAATAAGATCAGGTGAGTGTTTAAGATTAGTATACCTGGGTGACGTCACCCAGTCTCCTTTCAATAATAGGTGACTGTAGCATTGGATTATTGGTTATACAGTAAAGACTTCAGATGGTTAAATTACCAGTCGGTTTGGAGGCGACAGGTGTGTTCCGCTGCTGCCATTGATTATTTAATGCACTTTCTCGTTGTCCTCCAGCTGTGGCCGAGGAGTCTGTGGTGCTAGGGGGTAACTTTAACGGGTATTAGTGTTAATGATTTTAAATTAAACTAATCTAATCCCTACATACATACATACAGGTACATACATACATACATACATACATACATACATACATACATACATACATACATACATACATACATACATATCAGGTACATACATACATACATACATACATACATACATAACATACATACATACATACATACATACATACATACAGGTACATACATACAGGTACATACACATACATACATACATACATACATACATACATACATATACATACAGGTACATACATACATACATACATACATACATACATAACATACATACATACATACATACATACATACATACATACATACATACATACAGGTACATACATACATACATACATACATACATACATACATACATACATACATACATACATACATACATACATACATACAGATACATACATACATACATACATACATACATACATACATACATACATACATACATACATACAGGTACATACATACATACATACATACATACATACATACATACATACATACAGATACGTTGCAGGAGAGGATCTGGTCATTGTTAACACAACTTGGTAATTAACGACAAACACCACTCAGGCCTTCAACACTCAGAGGCAACATCTCCAAGTTTTGTAATTTACAGGTGTTATGAACAAGTGTTTAAGACAGGTGTTGATGACAGGTGTTATGAACAAGTGTTTAAGACAGGTGTTGATGACAGGTGTTATGAACAAGTGTTATGAACAAGTGTTTAAGACAGGTGTTGATGACAGGTGTTGAGGACCGCATCTTTGATTCCTCACTGAATCACTAATACACTGTAACTAATACACTGCTTAACCTAATACACTGCTTCACTAATACACTGCTACTGCTTCCACCTAATACACTGCTTCACTGCTTCACTAATACACTGCTTCACTAATACACTGCTTCACTGCTTCACTATTTTACTGCTTAACTAATACACTGCTTCACTAATACACTGCTACACTGCTTCACTAATACACTGCTTCACTGCTACACTGCTTCACTAATACACTGCTTCACTGCTACACTGCTTCACTAATACACTGCTACACTGCTTCACTAATACACTGCTTCACTGCTACACTGCTTCACTAATACACTGCTTCACTGCTACACTGCTTCACTAATACACTGCTTCACTAATACATTGCTTCACTAATACACTGCTACACTGCTTCACTAATACACTGCTTCACTGCTACACTGCTTCACTAATACACTGCTTCACTAATACACTGCTTCACTGCTACACTGCTTCACTAATACACTGCTTCACTGCTTCACCAGAAAAAGATTAAACACAGGACTCTTCTTCAGGCTCCCAGAGTGAGACTGGCGGACCTTAACTTAGGCAAGAAGAGTTACTGGACAGGTAAGTGAGAGACAACTGAATCACTCATTACCTGAACCACAACTAATTAAGGTAGTTTACCTCATAACCTCCACCACCTCAAACCACCACCACCTCCACCACCATCTTCACCACCTCCACCACCACCATCTCCACCACCTCCACCACCACCATCTCCATCACCACCACCACCATCTACCACCACCATCTCCACCACCTCCACCACCATCTCCCACCACACTCCACCCACCACCCCCACCATCTCCACCACCACCACCACCATCTCCACCACCACCACATCTCCACCCACCTCCCCACCACCCACCACCACCATCTCCACCACCTCCACCACCATCTCCACACCATCTCCACCACCATCTCACCACCATCTCCACCATCTCCACCACCTCCACCACCACCACCACCACCCACCATCTCACCACCACCACCACCATCTCCACCACCATCTCCACCACTGTCTCCACCATCTCCACCACACTTACACCACCACCACCCACCCACCACCACCACCATCTCCACCACCTCCCACCACCACCACCACCACCACCATCTCCACCACCACCACCACCATCTCCCCACCACCATCTCCACCACCTCCACCACCATCTTCACCACCTCCACCACCACCATCTCCACCACCTCCACCACCACCATCTCCATCACCACAGTGGACTTATGAGGTCAAATACTACAGGTAACCTTAAATGACCTCTGCACAACACAAACACATAATATTAATCATCATGGTAGATCAGATCAGGTCAGATCAGGTCAAGCAGCTATGTTAATAACCTCATCATGTCATCTAAGGTTAATCACCGAATAGTCAGTCATTAATTAGAGGAACTACCCGTAAAATTCCCTAGCTCAGGTGTATGACCAATTAGCAACAATCTACCTGGCGCACACTAACAAGTTTCACATGTCTTTGCATTCACGGTTCACCAGCAGACACATCACCCAACACGAGATGATTAAAGTGATTGGTCCTGTTGCCTTTTGAGTCTTTCTTTAATACCTGTGCACGGCCAGGGGCGAGGTGTGATGCAGGTGTGTTTGGTCAATATTACTGTACTGAGGAAGGTTTGGTGATCGATTTAGTATGGTGACTTAACCCCCTGAGTATGGTGACTTAACCTCCTAAGTATGGTGATTTAACCCCTTGAGTATGGTGACTTAACCCCCTGAGTATGGTGACTTAACCCCTTGAGTATGGTGACTTAACCCTTTAAATACGTTGAGTGAATCCCCCGAGTACGATGAATTAACCCTATGATTATTATTATTATTATTGTCGGTTTGTTTTGTTATTGTTGTTAGCATTACTGTTTCGTATTTCGGACACAGGTAACTGGACACAGGTAACTGGCCACAGGTAACTGGACACAGGTAACTGGACACAGGTAACTGGCCACAGGTAACTGGCCACAGGTAACTGGACACAGGTAACTGGACACAGGTAACTGGACACAGGTAACTGGACACAGGTAACTGGACACAGGTAACTGGACACAGGTAACTGGACACAGGTAACTGGACACAGGTAAACACAGGTAACTGGACACAGGTAACTGGAGGTAATACAGGTAATGGACAGGTACTGGTTTGGACACAGGTAACTGGCCACAGGACACAGGTAACTGGCCACAGGTTGGACAGGTAACTGGCTGGCAACTGGCCACAGGTAACTGGCCACAGGTAACTGGCACAGGTAACTGGCCACAGGTAATTGGACAAAACTGGACACAGGTAACCACAGGTAACTGGACAAGGTAATGTAATTGACAGGTAACTGGCCACGGTATTGGTAACTCGGCCACAGGTAACTGGTAACACAGGTAACTGGCCACAGGTAACTGGACACAGGTAACTGGACAGGTAACTGGACACAGGTAACTGGTAACAATACAGGTAGGTAACTGGCACAGGCACTGGCCGGGGCTACACACTGGTAACTCACAGGTAACTGGTCACAGGTAACTGGCCACAGGTAACTGGCCACAGGTAACTGGACAAAGGTAACTGGCCACAGGTAACTGGCCTACAGGTAAACTTGGGTAACTGGACAAAGGTAACTGGACAAGGTAACTGGCCACAGGTAACTGGACACAGGCACTGGACACAGGTAACTGGACACAGGGGGTACAGGTAACTGGCTACAGGTAAGGGTCGCCACAGGTAACTGGCTACAAAGGTAAAGCACACAGGCTGGCCACAGGTAAAGGTAACTGGACAAAGGTAACTGGCTACAGGTAACTCCACAGGTAACGCCACAGGGCACTGGACAAAGGTAACTGGCCACAGGCACTGGCCACAACTGGCACAGCTGGGCAGGTAACTGGCCACAGGCTGGACAACAGGTAACTGGCCACAGGTAACTGGCAGGTAATCAGGTAACTGGCCACATTGGTACACAGGTAACTGGACACAGGTAACACAGGTAACACAGGTAACTGGCCACAGGTAACTGGACAGGTAACTGGACACAGGTAATGGGGTAACTGACACAGGTAAGGACACAGGTAACTGGACACAGGTAACTGGACACAGGTAACTGGCCACAGGTAACTGGCCACAGGTAACTGGCCACAGGTAACTGGACACAGGTAACTGGACACAGGTAACTGGACACAGGTAACTGGACACAGGTAACTGGCCACAGGTAACTGGACAAAGGCACTGGATTAAAGGTACTGGCCACAGGTACTGGCCACAGGTAACTGGACAAGGGTAACTGATTACAGGTAACTGGCCACAGGTAACTGGCCACAGGTAACTGGACAAAGGTATCTTGGCCACAGGTAACTGGCCACAGGTAACTGGCACAGGTAATTGGACACAGGTAACTGGCCAAGGTCACAGGTATTCCACAGGTAATCACACAGGTAACGGGTGTCAGGTAACTGGACACAGGTAACTGGCCACAGGTAACTGGCCACAGGTAATCGCACAGGTAACTGGCCGCAGGTAACTGACACAGGTAACTGGCTACAGGTAACTGGCCATGGGAATTGACACAGGTAACTGGACAAAGGTACTGGACACAGGTAACTGGACACATAACTGGCAGTAACTGGACACAGGTAACTGGACACAGGTAACTGGACAAAGGTAATATTACAGGTAACTGGACACAGGTAACTGGACACAGGTAACTGGACACAGGTGTAATCACAGGTAACTGGACACTAGGTAACTGGGACACAGGTAACTGGCTACAGGTAAACAAAGGCATCAGGCCGTGCAAGATTACGAAGGATTTATCCAACAAACGTCAAACATTTTTTATAACCTTTATTTCTTTTTTCTCAAAAAATATTATAAACTATCTTCTAAAATTATGGTTTGTCTCATGGAGTTTCTGCCCCCCCCTCCCTATTTCTCTCAAATAGAAATAAACTTAAAAATATCAAAATTATATTTGAAAATTATGTTTTCTTTCGTATTATTTCTATCTCTATAAAATAATAAATAAAAATCGTAAAAATAAATATAATTTTTTATTTACGGTGCAAGAGGAGGAGGAGGAGGAGAGGAGGGCCGGTAACCTATTCTGGTCCATATATAACACTATCAATCCTCCTCACCACCGCCCCCACCCTCACCAATCACACTCTTTCACCTAATCGCCCACTACCCCACACCACCACACCCGTCCTCTATCACCCCCACACCACCACCACCTCCCTACCCCCACACCACCACCACTCCCACACCACCTTCACCACCTCACACTACCCCCTCTCCACTCATACCTAAAAACAGTAATATGACCAGAGTGACTAGTCCTCTCACCACCAGAGGGAGACCACACTCAGGTAGCCAACTTAGTGTAAAACATATGACACACCGCCCACCACTGTAAGTTACGAGCTGTAAATGAGGCGCCTGGTATTGAGCTAATATGAGACGCCCTGTAAATCATGAAGTGTAAATATGACTATGTAAGTAGGGTGTAAATGAGAGGCCAGAATAAGGTGTTAAGGTGTTTTGTTGTCAGTTTTTAACGCAACAATAACACCCCCACACACCATCCTATGCTCAAACGTACCAACCTAACCAACCTAACCTAACCTAACCTAACCTAAACACCTAACTAACCTAACCTAACCTAACCCAACCTAACCCAACCTAACCTAACACGTATTTTTCAACAGGAAGCAGTAGTACCAACACCTGCCTGGCCCATAACTCACCTTAATAACCTCACACACGACAATAACAGCCTCCGTAATAATATTAATAACACTCAATAACTCAATCTCCGACTTAATCACATCTTTTGTTATTGTTGTGAGAGGAGGGGGGAGGAGGGGAGGGAGGGGGAGGAGGGAAGGAGGGAGGTGAGGGGAAGGAGGGATGTTGTTATTGGTTCTCTGAAAGGTTTTGGATGACGAGTTGAGTCTGGAGCCTCACGTCGGGTAGGTCAACACTCTGGACGGAGGGAGCCGATGGGTGGTGGCTGTTGTGTTTTTTTTTTATGTTTTATTTTGTTTGTGTTTTTCTGTCTGTTTTTATTGCTATTTCATTCTTTTCCCTTTTTTGTTTTTTTTTTCATTACCCCCATTTTTTCTTTTTTCATTTGCTCACTTTACTCTCTCTTCTTTGCTTCTCCTTCCTCGATCACTTTATCTCGCCTCTCTCTCTCTCTCTCTCTCTCTCTCTCTTCAGGTGTTCACTAAGAGGGCCGCCACAGGTGTGTGTGTGTGTGTGGTGTGTGTGTGTGTACCTTAAGACGCCCTCCACCTGTCACTTTATTACCCTCACCTCTTCACCACACGCCCAGGTAAACTATTCATTTTAAGTACCTACTGTTTTAGGCATAAATTTTAAGGTAAGGAGACATTTTAGGAGAAATTCTAAGTGAGGAGAGTTTTAAGGGAAGAATTTAAGTATATAGTACTTTAAGGAACCAACAGACAGACAGACAGACAGACAGACAGACAGACAGACAGACAGACAGACAGACAGACAGACAAAGACAGACACCAGAACAGAACAAGCAGAACGGAACAATTTATTTGTAAACAATTAATACAAAATTTGAAAGTAATAATACAATTGAATATTATATTTAGAGAATAACATTAATAAAAGCCTTTGTCGGTTCCTTGTAATGTCTGGAGAGGAAAGAATATATACATTATTGATGATGGGAAACGATGTATAACTACACGTATACAGTAATCATCACACACACGTGAATACATATATGAATAAGCATTATACATTAGCATATACTCACATATATAGTATACATGCATTCATACACTTACATGTATACATCTAGGCATACATACACACATTATATATTACAATGGAAGCCCTCGAATGAGAGGATGGCTGGCCCAAGGGCCTCCTAGGAGTGAATTTGTTTAAGGTGTAGAAGCTGTCACCAACACAACAACTACACCCTAAGTTAACGAGCTGCATGACCCAGTGTCAAGGAACAGTCCGAGAAGACCGGACAACTCGCCAACTGCACTGGCTAACCATTACCCTGGAATACAATCCGCAATTCAATTAACATCCAGGTTCCCAATTACTGCTGGGAATGACAGAGGCAAATGGCGTAAAGAAACTTGGCCATAGTTTCACCCTGCCCGGGGATCGAACTTGCGTCCGCTCGTTTGCGAGGCGAGGAGGCTGACCATTACACCACAGGTCGCCACACACTCATAATACATACATATACACACATTATACATACATACATACATACATACATACATTCTAAAAGACAGACAGGTTGAAATACTTACCTGTATGTGGATGAGGGAGATCAGGAAGGCTAGTCATCAAATCTGTAAGGAAATCAGGTACAATTAGTTGAGGGTCTTCCGAGTCCAACCTGTGATAGAAGGACACTCTTAAGTAACCTATAAGAGGGGCTGGTGACCTGTCCTGTACACGAGAGAGAGAGAGAGAGAGAGAGAGAGAAGGAGAAGGAGATCGGGTTTAAAGGGTTTGTCTTCTGGTCAACTGTCAGCCACCAGTAGTATACAAACAAGGTCTCTGTTTACAGAACAAACTAAACTTGGCGACACACACACACACACACACAGCAAACTAGAGAGAGTTCACTAAATTTACCGAGAGTAAGCATTTAGAATACAGATGTGTGTGTGTGTGTGTGTGTGTGTGTGTGTGTGTGTGTGTGTGTGTGTGGTGAAACTAGACGCCGTGTGGACGAATAATACTGTCACACCTATCGTCAACACACGATGCCTGCAAACATCACGTACACCTGTTCCGCCTCACGATTTAACAAGGACCAAACTAACAAACGGACGGATAGATGGACGGACACCAACTAGACGCCACCTTGATCTTCCAACCCTGAAGGACTAGACGGGGTGGGGTAGACGGGGTGGGGTAGACGGGGTGGGGTAGACGGGGTGGGGTGAAGTTTGACGGGAGGGTGGATGGGAGAGAGGGCTCGTTCACAAATACTTAACGAGACAGCTGGACAAACAGAGGGCAGGCGTGGAAACCAACCCTCTCTATACACTCTAAATAACAAATCAAACACACACCCACAGACACACAAACAAAAACACAAATAAAAAACACAGTTACTATTCTAAAACAAAACACGATAAAACAAACACTCAAATCTTCCTAAAACTTCAAAAAAACATAATAAAAATCAAATGAAAATTATAAAAACAAAAGATTTATTTTCTATCTTAAACAAAAAAAAAACAATAAAAAACACTCAAATTTGCATAATACATTAAAAACAGAAAAACACATGAACAAATTCCTTTCTATATACATATGATAAAACAAACATTCAATTATTTCTAAAACATTAAGAAAGGATGAAAAATAGTAAAAAATCACACACACACACACACACACAGGTGACTCACAACAGGTGTTTCTGTGACGTAAGCTCTGCAATATTACCGTCACCACCACCAGTGTCAGCAGCTTGATTAAAATCACTATTACAGGTGATTAAAGTAGAGGGGTCGACACGTCCCCCTCTCTCTCTCTCTCTCTCTCTCTCTCTCTCTCTCTCTATCTCTCTCTCTCTCTATTGTATTTAACCATCGTACTCCAGGCAGTAAATCATCGAACTCAAAATGGGATTTAAGCGCCACTAAGCATCACCCAAAACACACACACACACACACACACACACACTCCCACACACACACACACACACACACACACACACACACACACACACACACACACACACACACACAGGATCCCTAGAATACAACCCTTTTGTAGTCACGTCCGCCATAAAAGGTTCGTAAACGCTTTATATCACCAGAAATAATTATACGTATTTTGTTATTTACTTGTGTACAGTCCTTAGTGAGACAACAATACTGGGAGCCTTCGTTGGAGCATTGATAATGAATTCAGTCCAGTATCCCTATAACGTCATGTGGTGTTTCGTTATAACGTTTATTACATACAAGACGTAGTTAGGTTAGGTCAGGTCAGGTCAGGTCAGGTTAGGATAAGTCAGGTCAGGTGAGCGTCAACCCCCTGGTAATATTCATCTTTAATAACTGTTGTACCTGCCTGCATCCACCGTCAACAGGTCTGTTCAGCCCCAGGTTAATTAACTCGACTATCGTGACCAACCTGTACTCATCACCTGGCTACTTGCTCTCAGGTAAACACAGTCTTGTCGTGTGTGTGTGTGTGTGTGTGTGTGTTAAATCAACATACTCAACATACTTACAATCACATTGACTCGATAACCTACCCTACCCTACCCTACCCTACCCTAACCTAAGCTACTGTAACTTGGTGGGAAGCATCGTGTTCCTTGGCTCTGCAGTTCACCCTGACGAACTCATTGTCATGTGAAGGATGTCCTCACGTTAAGCATAATTGCCCCTTGATGCCGCTAATTACACCTGCAGATTACACTTCTCTTTGTACCTGGACCTTAATGAACGAGTCTCCCGTAACACACATTGATAACAAATAAGAAAATAAATACTGGAAATAATAAGATGAACTAATTGTCTTTTTTTGCAAATATTGATAAAATGAACTGTAAAAAATGTAAATAATGCAAAAATTAACTGTAAAAATGGTAAAATTAACTAACTGTAAAAATTGGTAAGAGACGAAACGGTTAATTATTTTTCAGGGGTTCTAATTACCTGGAGACAAGACTAATTAGAGGCCCTGAGATTACTTGCCTTTCTTACAGCTGCTTTTAATGACAACTTAACTCACTCACTCACTCACACACAGACCATGGACAAAAATAATATATATAAAAATAAACAGGTAGGCGGTAATTAGTTCAGGTAATATAGCCAGGTGTGTGTACGTCAAAGTGTGTGTATGTGTGTATGTGTGTGTGTGTGTAACTAAGGCTTACGTTCATTTTGATGTATGTTTGAGAGAGAGAGAGAGAGCCCCCCCCCTAACATTACACTGAGTTAAGCAACATACGAGTACGCCATGAATCATCTTTATCTCTTGGCATTACTACCATCCCTCCTCTCTCCCCTCCCCTCCCTCCACCTCTCTTTCTCCTCAGCCCTTCCTTCTACCTCTCCCCCTACCTCCCCCCCTCACTCCCACCCCCTATCTCTCCCTCTCTCTCCCTCCTCTTCCTCTTTCCCCCTCCCCATTCTCCCCCTCCCCCTTCTCTCCTCTCCTCACCATCCATCTTTATGAACGACAACTGACAAGAGCAACCAATAAAGAGAGGAATGAGGGAGGTGAATAAAGGAAAGGTTCGAGGAATAACTGACTCAACGACTCACCGACTTACTAAACGACTTACTGACTCACTAAACGACTTACTGACTCACTAAAAGACTCACTGACTCACTAAAAGACTTACTGACTCACTAAATAACTTACCCACCGACTCAACAACTCTCTCACTCACTAAAGACTTACTGACTCACTAAGACTTCGCTCACTAAACAACTCTGACTCACTAAGCTCTACTACTAAAGGACTTACTGACTCACTAAAGACTTACTGACTCACTAAAGGACACTGACTCACTAAACTTACTGACTCACTAAAGGACTTACTGACTCACTAAATTACTGGCTAGCACATCACTAAACGACTTACTGACTCACTAAACGACTTGACTCACTAAACAACTTACTGACTCACTAAACGACTTACTGCTCCTAAGACTTACTGACTCACTAAAGACTTACTGACTCACTAAGGACTTACTGACTCACTAAACAACTCACTGACTCACTAAAAGACTTTGCTCACTAAAGGACTTACTGACTCCTAAACAACTCACTGACTCACTAAAAGACTTACTGACTCACTAAAGGACTTACTGACTCACTAAACACTCACTGACTCACTAAAGACTTTGACTCACTAAAGGACTTACTGACTCACTAAACGACTTACTCTCACTAGGACTTACTGACTCACTAAACGACTTACTGACTCACTAAGGACTTACTGACTCACTAAACAACTCACTGACTCACTAAAAGACTTACTGACTCACTAAACGACACTGACTCACTAAACGACTTACTGCTCACTAAACGACTTACTGACTCACTAACGACTTTGACTCACTAAAGACTTACTGACTCACTAGAGACTTACTGACTCACTAAAGGACTTACTGACTCACTAAAAGACTTACTGACTACTAAGGACTTACTGACTCACTAAACGACTTACTGACTACTAAAAGACTTACTGACTCACTAAGGACTACTGACTCACTAAACAACTCACTGACCATAAGACTTACTGCTACTAGACTTACTGACTCACTAACAACTCACTGACTCACTAAAAGACTTACTGACTCACTAAACGACTTACTGACTCACTAAAAGACTTACTGACTCACTAAAGGACTTACTGACTCACTAAACAACTCACTGACTCACTAAAAGACTTACTGACTCACTAAACGACTTACTGACTCACTAAACGACTTACTGACTCACTAAACAACTCACTGACTCACTAAAAGACTTACTGACTCACTAAATAACTTACCCACCGACTCAACAACTCTCTCACTCACACCTTCTACGATTCATAGACTTAACTTATGGACTGACTCAACGACTGACTCAAGAACCCTCTTATTCGCCCACTGACTGACTCACTGACTCACCCACTGACTGACTCAACAACATCTTAGTTACACACACAAATGACAGATCGACCAGATAAGCCCCCAGACAGATCTCCTCAGGGGAAAAATAGACACTTATTACCAGGAAACGCTGAAGGAAACACGAGAGAGAAGAGAGAGAGGAAGTTACCTTGCACAATATTGGAGAGAAAGACACAAAAGAGAGAGAGGGGGAGGACGGAGGAAGAAAGAAGGAGGAAGAAGAGGAGAAGGAGAAGAAAGAGGGAGGAGGAGGAGGATCACCTACACATACAGGGTGAGAGAGCATCAATATCCCAAGTGTTGCTGGGTCACTGCCTCCTCCTCTTCCTCCCCTCTTCTTCTTCCTCCTCCTCCCCTCCTCTCTTCTTCTTCTTCCTCCTCCCAGCCATCCTGTTACCACCACCCGACCCACACTGAACGACCACCCCACGACCCACTGAACGACGAACACCACCACGACCCACTGAACGACCACCCCCACGACCCACTGAACAGCCACGACCCACTGAACAGGCAACCACCACGGCCCACTGAACGACCACCCCCGACCCACTGAACGACAAACACCACCACGACCCACTGGACGAGACGACCCACTGAACGGCCACCCCACGACCCACTGAACGACGAACACCACCACGACCCACTGAACAGGACGACACTGAACAACCACCCCGACCCACTGAACGACGGACACCACCGACCCACTGAACGACCCCACGACCACTGAACGACGAACACCACCACTCTGACAAAACTTCATTCCTGTGTCATCTGGGGCAGGAGAGAGAGAGAGAGAGAGAGAGAGAGAGAGAGAGAGATCACACAGTATTGTTCCAGATATGTTATACATTCAGAATTTATGCTCTCCTCCTCGTATACTGAAATGGATTGTTGGTGACACACACACACACACACACACACACACACACACACACACACACACACACACACACACACACACACACACACACACCACATAATAACAAGAAACAACCATTATTTATTTCACTCCCCAAAAACACATAACAAATTATCCTCACTTTTAGAAATTCCTTAAAAGATAAAATAAACAAATAATTAAAAAAAAATAAGAATAAGAGAGATAAAAGATAAATAGATGGGATAAACTAAAAGTTAAATAGAAATAAAAATAAAACAAAATAAAACTAATGCATTAAAACAGTGGGGTGGGGGTGCTGGGGGGAGGGGGAGAGGAGGCAGGGAGAGGAGGGTGACGGGGGTAGGAGGTGTAAGAAAGGAAGAGAGGGGGTAGTGGCAGAGAGGGGGGTGATAGGGCGGAGAGGAGGAGATAGGGTAAGGGAGAGAGGGGGAGGTAGTGGTGGCGGTGAATCATTTAGGAGATGGACCTTTTCATGTATACTGGTGAGGCTATGGAGAGAGAGAGAGAGAAGAAGAGAGAGAGAGAGAGAGAGAGATAACTTTCTCAACGTTTTGGAGAGGAAAAGGAGGATAGAAAGTGTGTGTTTGTGTGGATAGTAGTGGATGTCCTCTCAATCCTGGATAGAATAACAACACCGTGTATGGGAAGGATAGATCTCTTTCTTGTGTCTGGTAGTGGATAGATGGTTGGGGCGGTACATCAACTCAGGACTGGATCAGACCTAGATAACCCACCATCCTGGATAGACTAGGAGGTCGTATATTGTTGAAGAGGATAGGCTTCACATTTGTGGTATAGTGGATAGTGGACTCAGGTTAGGTTAGGTTAGGTTAGGTCATATGAGTCGGCCAAAGTATATGAAAATACACTAAGATCACTACAGCTGACCTGATGCTTTTATCTACGACCTGCAGTACGACCCCGAGGCAGCGTGATGGTAGAGGTCGTAATGTTAACAGCAAGGTACGACCCAGAGGCGGTTATAGTCGTACAAGTCGTCGTGATATTCACCGAGTACAACCAGCACTGGTGATGGCTCTCGCTGCTGCACACACACCCAACCCCAGTACTGCCCCCACTACCTAACCCGCCACTGCCCCACCCACCACTGCCCCACCACCCCACCCCCACCCACCCCTCCCACCCCCACCCCCTGCCCCACCCCACCACCCTCCCCACCCACCCTACCCCCCCAACCCCACCCACCACTGCCCACCCCACCCACCACTCCCACCACCCACCCACCCTCCCCACCACTACTCCCCCCACCCACCACCCACCCTGCCCCACCCACCACTACCCCACCCACCACTGCCCCCACCCACCACTGCCCCACCCACCACCCCACCCCACCACTGCCCCACCCACCACTGCCCCCCACCCACCACTGCCCCACCCCACCACTGCCCCCACCCCCACCACCCACTCCCACCACTGCCCCACCCCACCACTACCCACCCACCCACCCCCACCCACCACACCCCCCCACCACTGCCCCACCCCACCACTACCCCCACCCACCCACCACTGCCCCACCCTCCCCACCCCACTACCCCACCCCACCACTGCCCACCACCACTCCCCACCCCTGCCCCACCCCACCACTGCCCACCCACCACTACTCTTCCTCCCCACCTCCCCCCACCACACCCTACCACTACCTGAACTATAAATCCTTCCTCCACCTCTAATCCTTTACTTCCCTTCTTTCTCTACAAAAAACCCACCCCACCCCATCCCACCACCCCACCCCAACCACCACCACCCCATCCCACCCCACCCCACCCACCCCGGCCCCTACCTTACAGGCACTAGTCGATCCATAGTTTACCATGATGAGATGTATCAAGTGAAACATGTATATGGAGCAAGTAACAAGATCACTAGATTACAAGATGATGTAACCGCTAGATTAAGGTAAGGATATAAGTACTCTGGCAGTATTTCCTCAAGCAGATGTGAACAAGATTAAATGTAAGTGTGTGGCCAGACATATGGCCACACACTCTAATACTACGTTGCAGAAAGTTACCCTTTATGTATAGAATTAAACAAAAATTTATTAGAAATACCCAGTAACATTCAATGCCATAATAACCTGACCAAGGGGCTGGTTATACTGACCCTTTGTGAACTCTACTCTGTAATCCTTTTGCACTACCGCTCACAGGATGAGTATGGGTGCACAACCATAACCGCTGTGAGTGGCCAAATTAATAAAATTAAAAATTATCTTCTATCCCACCCCCCTACTACTTTACCCTACCCTACCCACCACAACCCCACCCCACCACTACACGGTCCTACCCTACCCCACTCCCTGCCCTTGTTTCCCTGCCAGGTCATGAGGTGTGAGTTAGCAGCCAATATGTCACCTCACACTCCACCACTGATCAGTCTCCATACAGGAAGTCTTTAACCTTTTCCTTCTTACAGACACAAACATTACTGGAGCCTGACCCCTCCCTTCTGCAGCACGCTGACACCTTCACTACAGGGACGCCACTTTTAATGTTTTATTTGGTTAACGCCAGACGATTTTATTCAGCTCAGAGACGACACCGTACACATGAGGGTTAATGGAGCTCTTTTACAACCACAGTCCTTGGTCTCCGCGGGTGTTGGTGTGTTGATTACATACACCAGAGAGTAACAGTCGGGACGCACCACTTAACTATTAATTAAGGTCAACAGGTGTTGGTGTCCCAGTTCGGGCACCGTGAGATAATTAAAAGGATAATAATAACACAACTTATGTCATCATGATAAACTGTACTGGGTTATAGGTACTACTTGCCAGCGTTCACTAGGCCAGGTAACGCGTGGTGTGGTGGACGGCCGATCAGCTGATATTTGGTAAACATAAACAAACAAGACGGCGGTGAACTTGTTAAACTCCTGCTGGTGATTCATTCGCCCATTTATTGTTCGTTTTTATTATTGTTATTTATAATTTCACCAATTATCAGCTTACCAGTAGATGCAGAGACATCTGTTATGTTTGGTAGTGAGGGTCACACTGGCTCGCCTGGGCTACGCGGACTCGAACCCTCGACAGTGGTAAGAAATAAGCATGTTACGCTGTACCACCACCAACATGGTGATATTATTGGTCGGTCCCAACGAACAAACGTAGGAGCTTATGACCGCCGCCGTCTTGATATAAACAAACCGCGCAACGAAGCGATCCACCTCCAGCTGTGGATCGCTACACAGCCTGGACAATATTTTAACACTGACTTGTTCAGTAGCCAAGTGCAAGCTACACGGCGTACTAGCCCAACTGAGCACTGTTCTGCCACACTCCTCCCCCTAAACCACGAGACATCAACACCATACACAACCCCACGAGTAATCACAACTGTAGACCCACTAAACCTTATTACCAGCGTCATTACACCACTTTAACCACATCCTCAATGGGGAGGTGTACCACTAATGGAACAGCACGTAGCTCTGACCTGCACCGCACCTCAACCTGTGAACGACTGACGAGTTTGGTATGGAACTATTCGACTCCTGTTCCGTGGCGCCGCAGTTTTATTTTATTGTTATTATTATTATTATCAATCTTCCTGTGTCTTATAACCAAACAGGTCTTATATAAGTATATGAGAACTCGTGTCTACCTATATCATGACCACTAATTAATAAGATTTACTGTACCACTATAACCATGACCCCCACACTGCCTAACCTAACCTAACCTAGAGACAACTGTTGTGTCACTGTGAAATATTGCTCAGTGAAATATTTAGTCCACGCCATCACCACTATTTCTGGCCCTCACTATCACCTTCTGTCATGTTAAGGTCACATGTCGACCACTGTCATGAGAGCCACCTGTCATAGACGTACGTACCATGAACCACCACGTACCATGAACCACCGCGTACCATGAACCACCACGTACCGCGAACCACCACGTACCATGAACCACCACGTACCATGAACCAGCGTACCATGAACCACCACGTACCATGAACCACCACGTACCATGAACCACCACGTACCATGAACCACCACGTACCACGGCAGGCCAGGGATGGTAGTCGTATAGAGGTTGGAGCATGTGACTAAAATAACAACAGTTGACAAGATGATGATGATGATGATGATGATGATGATGATGATTGATGGTGTGGTGAGAACTGTGGCCGTTTCTTCTTTTCTTCTTCCCCTCCCATCCTTTCCTCCGCTCCTCCTCTTCCCCTCTCCTCCTCCTCCTCCTCCTCCTCCTCTTCCAGTCCTGTAAACTGCCGGAGATAAACAACGAATTTAGGGTTTATGGCCTCCCATTAACCTCACCTGCCTCACTTGACCTCTACCTCACCTGCCTCACTGACCTCTACCTCACCTGCCTCACTTTGACCTCTACCTCAACTGCCTCACACTGACCTCCTCCACCTGCCTCACACTGACCTCTACCTCACCTGCCTCACACGCCTCTACCCCACCTCCGCTGACCTCACCACCTGCCTCCACTGACCTCTCTCACCTGCTCCGCGCCTCCCTCCCGCCTCCACTGACCTCTACCTCACCTGCCCACACGACCTCTACCTCCCTGCCTCACTGACCTCTACCTCACCTGCCTCATGACCTTCCTCACCCGCCCGACCTCTACCTCCCGCCTCCACTGGCCTCTACCTCACCTCACTGACCTCTACCTCACCTGCCTCACGCTGACCTCCTCCACCTGCCTCACACTGACCCCTACCTCCTGCCTCATGACCTCTACCTCACCCGCCTCCACGCTGACCTCTACCTCACCTGCCTCACACACCCCACCTCACTGCCTCCACTGACCTCTACCTCACCTGCCTCCCAGCCTCTACCTCACCTGCACCCGCCTCTACCCCACCCCACGCCTCTACCTCACCTGCCTCCCTGTCTACCTCACCTGCCTCACACTGACACACCTGTCTCATTAACCTCATTTCTTGTCGGTATGTTGATCCCGTACCTTCGTTAGTCGGGTCTCGTTACCTGTGTATAATGTTCATGAGGAGAGAGAGAGTAAATGAATTGAAATGAATAATGGTATAACATTATACTTCCACCTACCTAACCTCCCCACCTACCCTCCCCCATCTGTACCTCTCCCAGTATCCGACCCACCCAACCCCCCTCCTTTCCCAACCACTCACCTCTCCACTATCCTTCTCATCCACTAATCCATTCCTACCAATCTACTCACCCACTCACCTATTCATTCTTTTATCCACCGCCCATTGAACCTCCTCTCTCCCCACCCTCACCCTCCACCCACCCCTATCCTCCCCTCACCCCTCCATCACTCCCCCACCCCTCTCACCACTCACCCACCCCTCCTCACCCTCCCCCACCTCTCCCTCCCACCCACCCCTCTCCCCACCCCTCCCCCCTCTCCCCCCACTCCCCCACCCCTCTCCCTCACCCACCCCTCTCCCTCCCCTCACCCCTCATCACTCCCCCCACCCCTCTCACCCACTCCCCACCCTCTCCCACCACTCCCACCCTCTCTTCCCTCCACCCACCCCTCTCACCACTCCCCCTCTCCCCCTCCCACCACCCCTCTCCACCTCCCCCCACCCCTCCCCTCCCCCCACCCCTCCTCACCACTCACCCCACCCCTCTCCCCCACCCTCACCCCTCCACCCTCCCCCACCCCTCTCCCACCTCCACCCCACCCTCTCCCCCTCCCCCCTCTCCTCCCCCACCCCCCCCTCTCACCACTCCACCCACCCCTCTCCCCCTCCCCCACCCCTCTCCCCACCACTCCCCACCCTCTCACACCACCCACCCCTCTCCCCCTCCCCCACCCCTCTCACCACTACCCACCCCTCTCCCCCTCCCCACCCCTCCCCACCCCTCCCCCACCCCTCTCCCACCCACACCCACCCCTCTCCCCACTCCCCACCCCTCTCTCCTCCCCCACCCCTCTCCCCCCTCCCCCCACCCCCTCCCTTCCTCTCTCCTTTCGGTATTAAGGGAAATTTTTTACTCTGCTTTTCTCAACAGCCAATTTGTAGCTTACGGCCATTAGGGTCCTGT